ACTTTATATTCTATACTTTGCCTTATATGCAGACCCGTTATATGCAGACCCGTTACATATATACTAGCTACATACACATACTAGCTATATACATATCGGTTATATACAGACCCGTTATATATTTACTAGCTATATATATATACTAGCTACATATATATCAGTTATATGCAGACCCGTTATATATATACTAGCTATATACATAAACTAGCTATATACATATCAGCTAAATGCAAACCCGTTACATAAATACTAGCTACGTACATATACTAGCTTTATACTTTGCCTTTGCATTTCAAATTTGCTAGCATTCTGTATTCTGCATTCTGCACTTTGCAATTTGCATTCTGTATTTTGCACTTCGCATTTTGTATTTGCTAGCATTCTGCATTTGCTTGTATTCTGTATTCTGCATTTGCTTGCATTTTATATTATGCATTCTGTATTATGCATTTTATATTTGCGTGCATTCTGCATTGTGTACTTACTTATATTCTGTATTTTATAATATTCTTTATTCTGCACTTGCTTGCATTCTGCATTCTGCACTTGCTTATATTCTATATTCTATACCTTTTTATATTTTATATTCTGCACTAACGTATATTTTGTATTTTATACTTTCTTATATTTTATATTCTGTACTTGCTTGCGATCTATACTGGTTCAGAATGCGAATGCAGAATGCGAGTGCAGAATGCCGAGTGCAGAATGCCGAGTGCAGAATGCCGAGTGCAGAATGCCGAGTGCAGAATATAAAAAAGGACGCCGGTGCAAAACGCAAGTGCAGAATGCGAAAAAGTATGCGGGTGCAGAATGCAGAATGCGAGTGCAAAATACAGCATGCAGAATACCGAGTGCAGAATGCAAAAGAGAATGCGTGCAGAATGCAAAATACAAGTGCAGAATACAAAATGGAAGTGCAGAATACAGAATGCGAGTGCAGAATGCAGAATGCGAGTACAAAATGCGAGTGCAGAATGCAAAGTGCAGAATGCCGAATGCAAAATATAAAAAAGGACGCCGGTGCAAAACGCGAGTGCAAAATGCAAAAGAGTATGTGGATGCAGAATGCAGAATGCAAAAAAGGATGCGGATGCAGAATGCAAAATGCGAGTGCAAAGTGCCGAATGCAGAATGCGAATGCAGAATGCCGAATGCAAAATGTGAAAGAAGATGCGAGTGCAAAATGCTATTGCAGAATGCTATTGCAGAATGCCATTGCAGAATGCTATTACAGAATGCAAAAGAGGATGCGAATGCAGAATGCAGAATGCGAGTATAGAATACAAAATGGAAGTGCAGAATTCAAAATGCGAGTGCAGAATGCGAATGCAGAATGCCATTG